CAGCAGACAGTAGCAGGGAAGATAGAGTAAAAGGGGGAGGGAGGCTATGGGAGGGTGCCATCTGGGAAGTGGGTGTATAGTTGAATAAGATGGTTTGGAATGTTCTGTGTGATACACACACACACACAAAAATCAACAAATCAAAAAAATTAGTTATAATTGAGGAGGAAGCATAAAAATGTACGTCATGTGAAGTAGTAGAGGTGATAAACATTACCACTGAAATCTACCCGACGACTTTATATCCATACACAGGTGCCAAGGACCAACTGCTACCGACCATGATTAGTAATAATCAGATACATACAGATTAGAGACGCATGTGCCAACATTTAAGTGTTATTAGCAAGAACAATATTCCTGTAAGAAACAGTATATTTTAAAATGAAATGGAGATTTTTTTTAAAGGTCAAAAATTCAATTTTATGTCTTAACAGGGTTTATACTGAGTTCAATATTGTATAACTTTTAATTCAACTGTGAACTTAAAAATTTTATAGCCACTTTTGAAAGAGATATATCTTTGCTCTGGAAATTGTTATTGAGTATGTTAAAGCTGTAATGAAATTCTTCTTCTAAAAAAATAAAAATAAAAAAAATAAAATAAAAATAACAAAAAACCCCACAATAAAACAAAGTAAAAAATCCCTCTAAAACCACCACAAACCCTGAAAAAACAAAATATTTCCTGCACAAAAATGTTTGCTGAGTGAGTGGGCAGACAACTCACCAACAGACAAAAAATACAAGAATTAAATTTTGGGATTAATTTTTAAATTAGGCAAGAATGAATTGTTATATTCAGACAGGAAGATAGGTTAAACTGCCTTTATTTAATGGTTTATTGCCCTCTAGGGGATCAAATATGTATGCGACAAAAGCCTGTAATTTAACTGGCAAATTTAAGAACTGAAATGAAAAATGTCAGCTCATCATTTTAAATATTTTAGTGCTTTACCTGGCAAGCCCAGAAAACTGGCAAAAAGATGGTTTTGTCAATGATAATGAGGCAAGATAGGGAGGGAAAAGCACGGGGACTTAATGAAGGGAAAGAAGTCCTTTGCCCTGGGATTTAGGTTGCCTTTCTTACCAACTGAGAGTCAAGAAACATCAACCAAAACATAATCCAAAACTGCCTACATAGATAATGTGTCTGTTTTCCTAAAGACTTTTTAAACACAAATGTTAAAAATAGCAAATAAACTTACTTATGGCTATCATGTTTATAACTGAGTTTTAATATAAGAGCACTCATCTCTGATTCCTAAATCTAAACAGTGTACCTCATAAATCCACCTTGCGATTGCAATTACAAAAGTAAATTCTTCAAGAGTTCATAAATTTTATTAACTTTATTCTTTAAAGTTACTTAATCTTTAAACTTTGTAAATAACATCCTTGGAGGAATAAAACTTAGAAAACCACAGTCCCTGTCTCTCACATTCCCACGCACACTCTATCATTTGCAGGGCACTGAAATCAAGGTTGGAGTAGGGTAGAGATTTAGAGAAAAAAATCCAGGATCTTGTGTTCAGGATGTTATTTGTTGGCCTAGGAAGACAGTGTGTAACTGTCAATGAAGTGATACAAAGGTAAAATAAATTCAAGCTCCTGACTTCCATAACGCAACTTCCTACCTGAGAACCGATTATACTTGGAAGTCTCAGAGACACTTCAAGGTTTAATAATAAAATATGAATCCTTTCAAACCTTAGCACGAAATTTCCTCCATTTCAATAAATAGTAATACTTCTAGCCAGTCATTATGGCCAGATACCAAGGACTCCTCCCTGCCTCATCCCTTTCTTTCACAAACCATATCACATTCATCAGGAAGGGCCTGATTCTGCTGCCATTACAGAAACCATCATTCATCCTCCACCCCGGTATCTGCCACTGTAATACAAACTACCAACACCTCTTGCTTTTGTTGCTGCATTAGCCTCCTAACTTGCATGATCTGGTCCCTGCCCACCGTCTATATTCATTTCATACAATTGGACTTTTTGAACATGTTCTGGCCACACTGGTCTTTTCTCATGTTCTTGAACACTAAGCTCTTTCCTACCGTAGAACCTGTCCTCTCTTCATTCTGCTTGGAATATTCTTCCTGTCCGTTTTTGCATAGCCAGATAATTTGCCTTTTAGACCTCAATTTAAATATCAACTCCTTAGAGAGGACTTTCTAAACCTAGTTTTTCCCATTTTTAAATCTAAAATTTTTTTCTTTTGAGACAAGGTCTCCCTGTAGGCCCAGCTGGCCTGAACTTCCTTGTTTGTACACCAGGCTGGCCTTCATCTCAGAGATCCCTGTGTGTGTGTCTCTCTCTCTCCCAAGCATTGGAATTAAAGGTGAGTGCCACAACCCTCAGTTAAAATTTTTTTAAAAATTTTATTATTTTTATTTTATGTGTATTGCCTGCATGTGTGTAAGTGCACCAGTGTCGTGAAATGTTAGAAGAGGACATCAGATTCCCCTGGAACTGGAGTTAGCTGGCATGTGCTGGGAATCGAACCTCGGACCTCTGCAAGAGCATCCAGTCCTCTTAACCACTGAGCCATTTCTCCAGCCCCAACTGTTTTTTTAAATAGGATTTTTTTTCCCCCTTTTTGAGACAGGGTCTCCCTGTAGCCCAAGCTGGTCTGGAACTCATTATGTAGACCAGGTTGGCCTTGAACTCAAAGAGATCGGCCTGCCTCTGCCTCCCAAGTGCTAGGATTAAAGAAGTGCACCACCATACCTGTTTTAAAAAGGATTTTTGTATGTAGCCCAGGCCAACTTCAAACTGGTATTCTCAACTGGAGATTCTCCTGACTCAGTCTCTGGAGTGCTGGAATTTTAAGTGTTGGTCACCGTACTCAACTTTGCTACACTGTCAACCAAAGAAGGTACCTATCCCTGTAACAGAAATCTATCTTGCTCACTGTGGTTATCCAATACCTTGCAGTTCTTGGCTTAAAGGGAAGTCCTTAAAAGGTTATCCACAGAAGGAATTTAAAAAAAAAAAAAAATCCTAGAGTGCTCTGTGAACCAGTGTTGCAGGGTCAGGGAACCTCCACAAGCTCAGGAAGCAGTTAAAAAGGCTTTTCAAGCCAGCCTTAATAGGACATGCCTATAATTTCAGTATTTGGTTGGCAGAGGCAGGATATCAAGAGTTCAAGGCCAGCCTTGGCTATGAGACCTTGGGAGGGGGGAATCTATGCCCAGTCTTCCAAAATCTTTGCACACGAATGCATCACAAACAGCATGTCTGAGTTGGGGACTGGGTTGAAGAGTTCTGGAAGCTGAGAGGATAGTGCTTTTGAGGAGCTGGGGACTCAGTGGTATACGGATCCCCCACGGCGAGGGGTGTGTGCGTGTGTGTGAACAGGAACATCTATAAGATTTTTAAATGGGGAGCACCTTAATCAAACTTTACACTCTTATCAGCCTAGGCGATGTGGAGAACGGATAAGCAAGAGAAACAGACAGCCGCATGTGCACTAGTCACAGGGCTGAACTCTACCAGTGGCAACGTAGAATGGAGAGGGCAGGAATTTGAGATATGGCTGTGAGGGATGAAAACTGCTAGAAAAAGTCTCTGCACTGAACATATTGCTAAGTTAAATATCCCCCCATCCCCCGCCTCGGGTTACCAAAGCAAACTGCAAAAAAAATTTTCCTAGCACGTACTATGATAACTGACTTTTAAGCACATCTCTGAAGCAGAAGTCCAATCGTTTCCTCTTCCTCTCTTGATTTCTGGTTCTAGACGCTTAACCCGTGCCTACTTTCACAGCACAGTTAAGTGTTCAATAAACATTGGCCGAAGAGAATAAGGAGCTGGACCCCGTCTTCTAACCTCAAAACCACCCTTTAAGGAGCTGGGACCCGAAATAAACCAACGCGCAGCGCCTCGTTACGACTCTTCCGACCTGGCGCCCCCAAGACCCTCCTTCCCCGCTTCTCCCCCGAGGACTGGGACCACCCGGGTGATGATCAAGGGACGCAGACCGCTCGGACGCCGCAATTCGCTCACCTCCGGCACTCGAATCTCCCGCGTCCCCTTCCGCCGGAAGTACCGTTTGGACGGGGCTTCCAGAGAGCCAATGAGAACAGGCTGCGCAGGGCGTGGGGCTTCTCCACGGGCCGGGAACCTTTCTCCGGGTAGAGGTCGGCGTACGAACGCCGCGGCTCGGGAAAACGTAGTTCCCTCAGTGAAGCGCCTTTCCGGTCTGCGCCGAGGCGGCCGTGGGGGATGCCGGGAAGGCAAGGGGCGAGGGGAAGGCTGGGAGCGCGTGGGCGGGACGAGTTGGGGTGGGGCGTGGAAGCGGTGCAGGTCCGCGCGCGGGCAGGAGGGGGCGCTGCAGGGCTTCGCCGAGTCCGCGGAGGAGGAAGGAAAGAAGGGGTGCGAGGAAGGCCCAGCAGCCTGGGAAGGGCGGGGCCGTCCGGGCTGTCCCGAGGGTGGCCTGACCCCGAGCACTGCACGGTGGGTACTCAGGCTGCGTAGTGGAGGTGCGGAGCCGGGACGAAGCCTGGACACCGACCGAGCGCCCTCCGAAGGCGGGCTCCACGTGCTGCGACCCGAGGGTCCAGTGCCGAGTCCCTTGCTTCATCTCGGGTTAGACATGACCGCGGTCCACACCGCACAGGGTTGGCAGTGTGGCGGAGATGAGATCGGTGTGTGCCATCGTGTCTCGTAGTGATCGCTCATACACTGCAGCGGACTCTTTATAAGTGCCGCTAGGTAGGATTTGCAGAGAGCAGGACGCTGAAGTGTGGGTGACAGTTCGGTGGTGCAGGAAAGGCAGGGCTATGGCGTGACCTGCGGGTGTCCGGGAGCCATGCAGCTGGATGGGAGACCCGGGCGGGAAAAGGGCGGACTCGGAGAGTGGCGTCGTGGTAGGTGGGCCGGAAGGAGGGGATGGCTGGGGTTGGACGTGGAGTGGGGGCGGTGCCCTCGGGGACCGTAGCTGCCTGACTTTGGGCGTCCCGGGGGAGGAGCCACTCTGCAGCGGGCGGAGTACCAGGCTGGGCTGGGCTGAGCTTGGGCTGCGGCGCTGCGGCGGGCGGACCTCTGGGTCTGGCCACCCTCATTGTGGCCGCCGGCCCGCGGAGCCATGGGCTGCCTGTCTCTCCTGCTCTTGCCCCTGTCTTTCCTGGCATTCGCGACCGCCAGATTCATCCGGCCCAGGCTAAGGACCCTCGACAGCCTACACTTGTTAGCCAGCCCCACATCCCGCCCTGTTGTAGACAATAACTACTCCGTTCTTTACTTCCCACAGAAGGTAAGCGGAGGCTGGGGAGTAGGGTTTGAAATCCCAGGTCCCAACCGCCCGCGGGTACTTGGGCTAGGGCTGGGGGCGCCGACGCCCACTTCAAAATTTATAGTCTCTTAATGCCCAGGACTTACCATAGTTTGGATTCACATTTTCTACAGGGTGCCCCTAAGTCTGTTTTACAATTTCATTATCAATACCTTATACTTTCCTGACCCCCATCAAGGACCAAGGGAAATTCTCTCATTTTGGAGACCCGGGACCCATACTTTTGACACTTTACCTCCTCTTCCCAGAGGATGCTTCAAGCTAAACTCTTTTAACCTTAGCAAAATTAAAATGATTGAAACTAACCCTGTCCCCAAGTCGACCTGACGGCTAGTCTCCCTGTTCCCTAGTCTGCCTGGCCCCAAACACGAATTCTAATGTCTTTACCCATTACATAATATAAACTATTAATGCAGTGTAAAGTCCCAACTTAAAACAAGGAACTGAGAAATTCTTTGTGAATATTATCCCTCTTTGCTAAACTCATGTTTCTGCCAGCTGAAATGTTACCTGTGAGTTTTTGATGTAATCTCTGCTCATAAAAGAGGTGTATGATCTTAAGATCTGAGGTGGGTGTAGGGATCAGATCTCTGTTCTCTGTAACTTGAACTCAGATCTTTTAAGACAAGCTTCCCTGATGCATTTGTGCTTGGTGGCAGCATGGGGCATTACCCTGTAAGTCCAAATGGAAAAGTACCTTCTGTCTCGCATGAAATGATAAGGGACACTTAAAATTCTGCATTTCCAGGAGTGCATGTATGGATAGGCATGAATGTGGAAGTCACTGGGACTGGGAAGTGTAGGATTCCACCCTGCTAGCTCTGTAATCTTGGACAGGTTACAATTAGTTTCTGAGCTTAGTTTCTTGACTTACTGGAGGGTCTAGTGATGATTAACTGAGAACAAGTAACTTATCCTCAGGGAGTAACTGTCCGAAGTCAGCGATTGTCAATGCGGGGTTACTGATCTCTGTGAAGTTTGAAGAGGAATTTGGGATAGAGGGATGACAGGAGTTTGTAGAATACTTTTGAAAGAAAAAAAAATTTAACCTAGAAATTTGAATTTGGGTTTATGAAAAGAGAAAGTATTCTAATTTTAGCAGAGGTAGCAGAAAACAGAAGGCTTTCTGCAGCAACTCCTCTAACCCTCTGCTGTAGTTTCCTTATTTGTAAATTGAGCTGTTGGGATCAGGAGCATTGTATTTTATACTTTACTGAGGAAAGGCTTTTTGGGGAGCCAGCTCTGAGCAAAGCTAGCTGGGTGAAGCTGAAGTGAAGGGTGTGTTAGGAGCGCTAGGGCCTGTTTTTGGCTTCTCACCTGAGACTTTTTGCTTCTGTCTTACATACTGGGATTTTAAAGAGATTCCTTTTTTGCTTGCTTGTTTGCTTTGTTTTTTGCAGGCCTGGGAATTGAACTTGTACCACTGAACTATACCTGTATCCGAGCCCCACACTCGCTGTTTTTTTGTTTTGTTTTGTTTTGTTTTTTAAAATATAACCCTTCACAGGATCCTGTTAAAAAAAAAAAAAAGTCAAGTTGGAGGAGAAAAGTTAGAATAGATGATCTCCAAGATCCTTTTGGGAATGATCCATCAGAAAAACTGGCATGAATGAATAGAAGGCATAGAGTCATCCATTCCTAATTTATATTGCTTTTTTTCCCCATGTGAGGGTGTGCTGTGATGTATGGATGTGTGTGTGTGTGTGTGTGTGTGTGTGTGTGTGTGTGTGTGTTTGGTGGTGGTGGTGGTACACTCCCCAGTACATATGTGGATACCAGAGGACATTCAGTGTCCTGTGCTATTTCTCTCTGCCTGATGTCCTTAAGATAGGATCTCTCATCGAACCTGAAGGCTAGTGGCCAGCTAGTCCCGGCGGTTGTGTTCACGCATACAGTGCTGGCGTTACAGGCATGCATGTGACTGTGCCTGGCTTTTTATGTGGGTGCTGGGATCTGAACTCAGGTCTTCATGCTTGCATAGCAAGTGCTCTTATCCCCAGTCTGTCCTTTGTCCTTAGAAATGTAGTTTAAGACTGTTTTTATTTTTCTACAGTTTTGGCAGCCTGTAAGTATGTTTGGTTTCACTTAGCCAAACTTTATATACTAGGTTTGTATTGAGTTTATAGTTTGAAGACGTAGATTCCATGTATATTACCAGGCCTGGTGTATGTGGCTCTGAGGTTAAACCCAGGACTTTGTGCAATGCTAGGCAACCAACTGAGCTAAATCCTGATTTATCCTTTCTGCATATGTGTGTGTGTGTGTGCGTGTGTGTGTGTGTGTGTGTATACATGAGTGGTGTACATATGTGTTTGTGTGTGAATGTGTATGTGGGTGTGTGTATATTGCATGTATGTAGAGACCAGAGAACATTGACATTGGGTATCTTCATTAATTGCTCGCTGTCTTACTTTTTGAGACAGGTTTTCTCACTGAATTCATCAATTTAGTTAGAGTAGTTGGCCAAGGAGCTGTAGGGATCCTCTTCTCTTTGCCTTCTAGCACTGTGGTTATAGGCACGGGCCACACCTGGCTTTTATAGAGTCCTGGGGCTCAGAGCTCAGGTCCTCATCCTTGCAGTCACTTTACTGACTGAGCCATCTTCCAGGCCCACTTAGACTTTTTAACAACAAAAGTCTATTCTTAAATATACAACAAAGGTTTAAGACAACATGTCATTCTAGTAGTAGGTGCTGAAAGATGTCTTGTTAAGAGTGGAATCAAGGGTTACCATGCTCTCAAGCACAAGGATCAGCCTACTTTTTTCCAGATTTTTAAATTCTACCTGTGTCCTTCCCCAACCTTTGCTTTTATCTTCCTGGTTTCTTCATCTCTTGTTTCAGCCTGAAAGCTTTATTGCATCCACCTCCTTGGCCTCTCTGTTTGGGCCGGTTATGCATTTCATACTGACCCAGTGTAGGATTGCAGTGACTATACCTCTTCTGAAAACCAGGGTCATCCCTCTGTTCCTGGCTGGTCAGTGCTTCTGTAGAAGTCTGTGACTTGGCCCAGCTTGGAACTCAGGGCCACGGGTTCTTGCAGGCCTTCCCACAGCTCCTTCCATAGTTATAAGATGAGCACATCAGTGGGCTGAGTTGTATTGGTTTATCTCCACCTTTTACAGTTCTGCTTTCTGTTCCTGTTTGGGGTTCCCCTTTCCTACTTTTACCACAGTGTCCTAATGTCTAGTAAAATGCAGCTGTTATGGACTACTTGAAAGATAATATTGATTGATAATGATCTTTTCCTCTGGCTTAGAACTTGCTCTATAGACCAGGGCCTGCTCACCATGCCTGACTTTGCAATCTTTTTTTCTTTTTGTTTCTCATTATTGGTTTTTATTGAGGCTTTTCCCTCAGGCTTGTAGTATAACAAACATTGTGTGAATTCTTAACTGATTTCTGTGTTTAATGATAGAATCATTTCTGGATGGCATCTTGGAGATTATGTAGCTCACCTCTTGGATGTGATGGATTGACTTTCATCTACATTTTGGAGGCTGGGGGATTTGATAGAACTTAAATAAGGTAGTAATTAAGAGCACAGTCTCTAGAGACTAACAGCTTTGAGAATGAATTGTCTTTACCATTATCTGAGTAACTTGTTGAAGTACTTGGAGGCAGCCCCTGTTACATAACCACTAAAATGTTAATAATTATGCTACAGATCTCACAGGTTTGTTCTGAAATGTGATGATGTGTGCATAGTGCTTTTCTAGTATGGTGAATATCACTGAGCAGTCAATAAATGCTAAGTATTTTTACCTTTCAGTTGCTTAATGCTTTAATTGACTTCTCTTACTCAGAATAAAATATTTGGTAATTTCTTACAGCTAAAATTGTTATTGTGGAAAGCAAGAAAATCTCTTCAAATTCTTTTCTGTTACATAAATATGTGATTTAAAATCATTGTTCTATAAGTTTATAGGCTTGTAACATAAGAATTAGTATTTTCCTTTCTTAAAATGATCTCTCATATAGCAATGTAAAAAGAAGCATATTAAACTTTTTCTGTTTTTTCCCCAATGCTATTTTGAGTTTTGGCAAAATGTGGAGGGAAAATTTGGTAATGGATATATTGTATTAGGTTGTTGGGATGACCTTTTATTCTTAATAAGAATACTAAAAACAGGGCTTGGTGTGATGGTACACACCTTTAACTCCAGCAGAAGCAGGTGGATCTCTCTGAGATTGAGGCCAGCCTGGTCTACATAGCAAGTTCCAGGCCATCCAGGGCTACAGGAAGACCCAGTGTCAAACAAACCAAAACCAAAAAAATACTAAAACTAGTAATTCTCACTGATAGCTGAGGGTTTTTTTGTTTTGTTTTGTTTTTTTAACCAGCAAATGTTAAAATGTAATTAAATACAAATAAACTTTAGGGTTTTCCCTCTCAGCCTAGTGCAGGGATTCTGTGCTTTCCAGAATTTAGACACACAGAACATTTCAATGTGTTTTCTGGAATCAGCTCTACCACTAACTTGTGACATGATCTTTACCAATTACTTAACTTTGTCCATTTTATTGTACCACTTTTTAGGAAAAGTGATTGGATCTGCTGATCTCTGATGCACCTGTTATTCTGTTCACTGAATGCCTCATCTGTAGCACTCAGTATTAGAAATGGGGATGTGACACAGATTCTAGTTTTTGTAATAACATTAATTGCCCTGGTGAATTGGACCTAGGCAATATTTCCATCTTGATTTTAAATAAGATAGATATACATGTATGTATACTATAAAGTGCATTTAAATTAAAAGTCATCTCTACTCCTGGCATAATATTTAGAGAATGGTATTTGTGACTTTACAATTTGATTATTGTATTTGTGACTTTACAGTTTGATTATTTCATTATGTGAGGCATTAGCATGGTAGATTTTTGGACTCCCCCCCCCCTTTTTTTAGAGTCTTGCTGTGTATCACATACTGGCTTAGAATTTGAGCTCTTCCTGCTCAG